ATCCCTACATCATTCCTAAAACCTACTTCTGCTTTTGGGAAAAACCAGGTTAAGGAGTAGGGCGAGAGGCAAAGGGGAGGAGGGAGCAACTGAGCAGCCAAGGCAGGAAGCTGAGAGACGAGGACCTCAGCTTAGCTGCAGCTCTAAGCGCCTACTGATGGACTGAGGACTGACTGATGAGCTCGGCTGGTTCCAGGGCAGGCAGGAACAGTGCCAGAAGGCTGATGATCCTGGCACAGCTCTGTCTGAGGAATGGAGCACGTAACTGTGGTCGTCTGCTCTCGGGTGAGCCTCTCACCATGCTGCCCTAAGAAGGAAGATGAGAAGAGAAAACAGAAGCCCTGGCCCAGATCCCTGGATTCTGACTACAGGCTCCATCGATAGCAGAGCTGGCTTCCTATGAGAGCCATTCAGGTGTTCCCTCGGCCTTGTCTTCATCTTCATAACAGAGGCCCCAGTGGGCAGTGGGGACAGAGTGGCACACAGTTCTGCCCCAGAGTGTGGTCCATGAGCAAGCACTAACTGTTGATTGAGTGCCAAGCCTTCCCCAAAGCAAGTGGCACACAGTTCTGTCCCAGAGTGTGGTCCATGAGCAAGCACTAACTGTTGATTGAGTGCCAAGCCTTCCCCAAAGCTACTGAATCAGAGCGTTCATTTTAAGAGATGCCTAAGGTGGCTCTCATTACATTGTGAGACATGCATCCATAAAGCACCTGAGGGGCTTCTCCCAGTGCAATCCACATGGAAAACATTTAGGATCCAGGGGGTCCAAGTTGAAGGAGAAAGAGCTAAAATAGGAGTTCTGGGTGGATGGTTTTGTCACCAGGCAACTGTGGGCAGTGTTTGGGAACACTTTTGGGTGTCCTGACGGTGGGCACTACTGACATGCGGTGGGCTGGACTGGAGTGCCACTGAGCTCCTGCCGTGCTCATCTCTGCCGTCTCCGGGGAGACTCACGCCATCCAATACATGAGCAGTGCTGGCGCTCAGTAGAGGGCAGATTCCACACTTACTCAGGTTTCATTTCCCCTCAAAACTCCTCTCAAGGAGCTGGAGCTGAGTTTCTCTCTGCTTCAGGAGGAAATGGAAAGCTCACTAAACCTGAATTGCCCCTTCCTAAGGGGTTGGAAAATGCCCAGCAAGAGAGGAGCAATGAGCATGTTAGTTATAATTTCTTGAAAGCCAAAAGATAGGAGACAGTCATGACATCACTTTTCTTCCAACGAACTGAGCTTAATCTTTATTTTAAGAGATGTTTATCTCCCCACGGTGGGGAAAACCCATGCCGTAATGACGTGGGACACCTGGGCATTCCATGAGTCCTTTGCCCTAGCAGCGGAACCAGTGAGAGAGGGCCAGTCTGCCCCCCCTCTCCTCCTCTCCCCTCCTCTCCTCTCTTTCTAAATAGAGTTTCACTAGGCTCCCCAGACTGGCCTTAAATTATTGATGTTTCTGCCTCAGGCTCCCAAATGCCTGAATTAATATGATACAGTTGTGTGACATGCTCAGAAAAGGCAAAGCGACAGGGGCAGAGAACAAGCTAGCTGCTGCCCATGACTGGGGTGGGGGCAGAGTGAGTGTGGGCAATGGGAGTGAATGGTAAAACACACACTGTTCGCGTTGGGGATAACCAAGTGTTCTCAGGCCGTGGTCCTCAGCCTTCCTAACGCCATGACCCCTTAGTACATTTCTTCACGCTGTGGTGACCCTTCAGCCATAAAATTGTTTTGTTACTACTTCATAACTGTAAGTTTGCTACTGCTTTGAATCGTAATGTGAGTAATATGATATCCAGATGGTCTGAGGTGACTCCTGTGAAGGGTTGTTTGATTCCCAAAGGGTCGCGATCGAGAATTACTGTTCTAAAGTTATAGCATGGTGATGATTGCTCAACTCTAAATACATTTTAAAGATATCAGATCCTATGCTGTAGCAGGTGACCACAGGGATCACCTTCAAGTTTGCTTTTTCTAAAGAATAGGAAAGAATGGAGGGAGGGAGGGAGGAAGGGAGAGAGGGAGAGAGGAAGGGAGGGAAGGAGGGAGGGAGGGAGAGAGGGAGGGAGGGAGGCAGGAAGAGGAAGGGAGAAAGAGGAGGCCTCAATGGAAATAAGATGTAGCTCATTCTCATAGACACTAAGGTCGGTCCCAAAATGTTACCCTTCTCCTTGTGTCCCATCCATCCTCCCCACCTACGAGCTACTTTTTAGAATTACAGAAAGCATTGCTTTCCCCTTGTTTTGCGCTCCCATGATGACAACGGTTTGTTTTTGTGTCATCAAGGCCATCCTTCAACCCTGAATTTTATCCATTGCAGAATTCCCTTCTGGTACACGACAGGAGTTTAGTCAGCACTGTTGAATAAGGGGATGGCATATGACTGATGTGACTTCATTCCTTCTCTTCTCTGGCACACAACTCTTAAAATCCTTGAAATGACAATTGTCTTTTTTATGCTACTAAGACAGGCTTTAGGATGGAGGCTACTTGCTGTGGAAGCAACCAGGTCTTTAGAGTCATGAAGTTCAACCCCCTTCTCTATGCATACACCTCTAGGTAGGAAGAGAGTTCCTCACTGAGGGCCTATGGCTCAATCCTTCTTAGGGACTCAGAGTTAGGCACACTCCCAGATAGGCAGATAGAGAGAGACTCCTTGGCTAGGTAATAAAGGTGACAAACTTCCGATTGGCTGGCTTCTTCCTCACTCTCCTGACCTGAGACAAAAGCCTGGCAGCTTAAAACAAAGGC